TGCCCTGTGGGAGGAGACAGCAAGACCCAACACCCGTTACTGGGTCTTCCACACAAGGATGCGCTCCTTATGTGCCTGGGTACCAGGCCTGCCCTTCCTGCTGCCAGGGCAGAAGCAGCCAGCAACCGTGCCTGTGGGAAGGCCCTAGGGTGGCCAGGGCCCCAGGCACTCTGCTCGACTGGCAAAGGGCAGGAGCACCAGCAGTGCTCCGCGCCGGGAGGGAGCTCGGTGGCCCCTCTGTCTTCCCGAAGACCCCCGAGGGCAGAGCACAGCTGCAGAGCTGCTCCCAGGCCGGCCTCCCGCTTCCCAACAAAGCCAGGCAGGCTCGCAGCCTGGTTCTGCCCATGTGTCAGGTTTCTTGTTTCAGCTTCCCCCTCCCCTGCCGGCAGAGGGGCCGGGCTGTCCCGTGATGTGGGATTCTCACACATGCTGTTTGTTATTCTGTCCCTTTTTAAGAGTTTTCCTTTCGTCCTACAAAGATTTAAAGGAGAGGGTGGGGGAAGCAGAGTGAGGCTTTGAAGCAACTTGACTTTCGATGATTAATTGCAGCAAGGAGCCTGCGCCAGGGCGGGAGACTTATTTTTGATTTATTGATGTTTCTTTGTGAGAACAAATTTATAGCAGAGGGGAAGCAGCTTCTGAGAGGAATATCAAATGGTTAAAAGGTTCCAAGCGCTCTTTGATGTCGCGGCCGGAGGAATGCTGGAAGGGCTCAGGGAGGCACTGTTTATTTATAAAATAAAGATCGGGTACCTGCTCTTGGCACAGCCTGCGGCCCAGCTCCTGCGCAACAGCTCAGGCGGCAGGAAGGCCTGGACCGGGCTTTCAACCTCGACCGCAGCAGCCCGCGGAGGTGACGAGCCCGCAGCCCAGGGAAGGTTTCCAGCTGCTCGCTCTTTCCACACGCCCGCTGAGGCAGCAGCACCTGTTTCTCACGTTGGACTAGGCAGCGGGAAGGCCTTGGCCAAGCTGCGACAGAAGCTGCCAGGACAGGCGGGACCGCTGCCGGCGGCAAGACGCCCCGCTCCAGGTCCTGGTCAAGCAGCATCTCCTTCGTAGCTGCCGGTGCCGCCCTGCTCCGAGACGGGGAAGAGGCAGCGCTGCCCCCGCGCTGGGGACGCCGGGCAGACACGTCCGCGCGGCCGGATGCCCCGCGACCCCTCTAGAAGTCCAGGAGCTGGGGGAGCAGCGATGCCTCAGCGCCTTGCTCGGCAGCCGAGCATCCCGGGGAGGGGGGTCCGCCCCAGCCCCGGCCCTGGCCCACCTACCAGCTGCGGCAGCACTTTCTCCAGGTGCTCGACGTCCACCCGGGCCAGGTCCTCGGCCCGAGCCT